CTAAGTTTCCTCGGACTGTGCGATCTTAGGGCCTGTTTACATGATAACCTGGCCAGTGGTGTATCTCTGATGGCTGACTGAGGCAGTTACAATAGATGAAAATATCCAGTTGGCTCCTGGTGAGTCCTGGGGCGTTGTGGGAATGTGCAGCTACGGAATAGAGTCTAGAAGACAGGGCAAAGTTCTGCTCGAGGTCTTTCCCACAGCAAGCACAGCTCCCGTGGCAGGTGGGTTATTGACCCCTGGAGGGGGAGCGTCCGGAACCTGCTACCATGAGTAAGAGGAGTACTAGCAGTCGGCATCCTACGGATGTCTGCCATTCCAGGGCTTTTAAATGAGTGCTTATGTCACAGCCTCTGCCACCATTTCCTTAAGTTCTCTTTCTCTTTCTTCAGTGACAAGCTTTCTTCACTTGGCAGGAAGTCTGAGTGCACACAAAGTGATTTTGGAAATCACTAGTTATCTTAATGTCAGCAATAAACAGGCATCCAAACTCTGCTCTTTCTCACAAATGTAAACACTCCGTTAGATAACTGTGAGGTTAGACAGTAAGCTGAAGCTGAGCCTTTTCCTTCTCTGTAGCCCAGGGTCCTTGTCTTTCTCCTTGGGGTATTCCAGGTCATTTAGAATTCATGCTCATAAAGGAAAATATCAGCCCTTGTCTTATAGCTCTTAGGCACTAGATGGCAGCATTGCTCTTTATCTTCCACAGAAAGGTACTCATGGCATAGTAGCCTCTTTCAGACAGAACATCTTGCCTTCACAGAATCTTACCAGACAGGGCTTGCCATGAACTCTCTGGTTTGCTATGATATGGCTCTTGTTGTTTAAAGTTATATGATTACTACTCTTCTTATCTAAACAGCAATATTTTTATAGAAAAATTATAAAGGCAAAAAGAGAAAGTATCTGTTAAGGCCTTGTTAATATTAATATTATGGAATGTTATTAGCACTAATCAGCTTCAAATATAGCTCAGAATGCCAAGCACCTTTGAAAACTTGAAGAGCAGATTTAATACAAGTAACAGAATTCAGGAAAGCATTGTACATGTGTATCAAATATATTCATTTATATATATATACATATCATTTATACTATGCATTGTGTATAGTGTGTGTGTGTGTGTGTGTGTGTGTGTGTGTGTGTGTGTAATGTAAACTATGGATCTTTAAGAAATCTTATAGAATAGAAAGATATAGTTAAGCATTTTGTTTTCAGCAGTAAGCAAAAGCAGCACCAGAATATCTTGGAACAAAATTTGCCAATACCTTTGTATCTGAGGCCACATGGTTGCTCTCGATTGGCAGGTCCAGCTTTCATATCAGCATGACTTGATCAAGAGGCTAAACTTATCTACAGTATTTGTCACCCACTTGAGTGTATATACACTCATGTACACTTTACAGGCACCATGATTCAATTTATTACCAGGAGAGGCTTAGGCCCTTCTGTAGGCAATTGTACAAAAAGAAGCAAGTGTGAAACCTACCTTATGGCCTAATATGTTAGTTTTCATCTTTCCCCCACAAGCGCTGCTGTTAATTCTCTTAGTGTGTGTTACATAATTTAAGTTAGGAAATATATTTTATATGGTGTGAAATAATTTCCCTTAACTTAAAAGAACATTTTTAAAAATTGACAATCAGTGAGGTTGATAAAGAACAAGAATAATCAAAGTCATACAATACAGGCACCTATTGTTAACCACAGTAACAACTGCTTAGTAATTTAGATTCATTTGTCAAAAATGCATAAAAAGTCACTCAAATGCAAGAAAATATTATGATACCTAATTTTAATTACATTATCCTATAAGCATCACTAGTAAAAAGTTATTTTTAAAAAGGATTCAGAAATTAATTTCTAGTGAAATATTTATGTAGAGAAACAGATATACTAACAAATGTATTTCTAATATTTAAACAGTCATGGGGAAAAAGTATTGAAAAACTTTTTATAAAATATTTCATATTTTTATATATTTCTACTTCTCCTTTTCTGAACCACACAATCCATGTCATGCATATTACAAAAAATGTTTTTTCACATTTTCAGCAATAAAATAGTCTCTCATTCTAAGTAAAAGCAGAATGCTTGCATCGTTTACTTTTACACTGGTAGCTAATTGAATGCAAAAACAAATGGAAAGTTATGTAATGGGATTAAATTAGAGTTGGTTGGCTGGTGAGGGCCTTTCATTCTTTTCTATTTCTACTTGAGCACATTTATCATTTTGCACCTAGGAAACACACTTATACTGTATCAGTTATTTACCAAGGGTGTTTGAAAATCTGAGTGAATCGTCTTTCTGATTCTGTCTTCATTCATGGTGTTGGGTTCAGAATGAGCCACCCAGGATGTGTCTCTATGCTATGCAGATTGTTTTGTACTAAAGGTAACTGAGACATAGTGGGCTCAAGAGAAACTTCTGCTTCCCCATCTTAACTATCTAGAAGAATTTAAATCAGAAGCCTGACCCACAACAAGAGTTATCACCGGAACTGACGTTTTACCTATTTATGTAGCAGGGAAACTTTATAAAATATCTGCCCTTCTTATCATCCTGCAATGACCCTTTGACACCCCCAAGGTGCATTATGTAGCCTGGCTCAGACTGTCTTCTATACATACCCCCCCCCCCCTCCCGCCTCCCGGTTTCCTTTCTGTCTCTGAACCTCGAGTATCTGGAGCCATGCCCTCACCTGGGAGCTGTCTGTGAAGGCCCACACCCTCCCCCTCAACCCCCCACCCCCACTTCCCCGCAATGCCTCAACCCTTCTCCCCTCAATGCCTCAATCCTCTCTGCCCCCCAATGTCCAAACGCCCTCTCCACCACCCCCAGGCAGGGACAGAATAATTGTATGGTAAATGTATGGATTTGAGATGTCCTGGGGTGCCAGGTGTGGAGCCACAACCCGAGGAAGTCATTGTCCCTGTGGCCCGGACCCGCCCCTTGTTGGGAGCCAGCAGCCAAGTCCCGCTGAATGTCCAAGAAGCTACCATGGAAAGGGCAGGGTGGCCACGGCCCACTGTGTGCTGTGTGCCCATCCCTGGAAATGTGTGTGCCCAGTGCCCTGAATCCTACCCTATTGGTGTGTGGTTCTGGCTCTTGGGGGTGGGAGAGCCAGGGCTGTTCAAGATTCTGCTTTTAATTTATTCAAAGTGAAAAATGAAGCCAGAAAAAGCCTTGTGGGACAGAAGATGGTGGCGGTCCCCAGGTCCTGATGTTGGGAGCATACACGTGTTGGAAGGCTGCCAGGAGGAGGCCCCTGCCACCCCGTCACTCTGGCTTTTGTTAAAGGTCAGGAGGGCAGGATCCCCGCTGAGGACGCAGAAACCCCTCCCCTAGGGATTTCCTAGGCCACAGCCACCAAGTTTGCCCCGCCCCCTGAGCCCCAACTCTCAAGTGGACCGTAACTGTAGCAGCCCCTTCCACACTCCTCCCGCCCTGGCTCTCCTGGCTCTGGCTCCCCACCTCCGGCTGGAGGCCGCCCCAGCCTCACCACTGCCTCCCACCCATCGCCTCCCTCAGGAAGCTCCCCACCAAGAGCCCAGGCTGCGGCTGAGTGGGCGCACACCAGGGCGGAGCCGGAGGGCACTGGGGTTCGTCCTGGCGTTGGGATGGTCTCTGCCAGCTTAGAGGTGAGAAAACCCAGGCGGCTAGACTCCGCCCAGGTGCCCAGTCCCATCCTGGCCCTGCCCCACTTCCGCTGGCCCCACTCCCCCTGACTCCGGCCCAGCTCTACCAGGTCCCGACCCTAATAATTAGTAATTAGTAATCCCTGGTGCCTATTACCCCCCCACATCGCACCCCACCCCACCCTACTGTGCAGGACCCTGCCCACTGGGCCACTGCAGCGCCCCTATGCTGGCCCCACTGGTGAGGCAGCCTCAGCCCCGCCCCGCCCACTCGCCGTGGCCCCGCCCCGCGACACCCTTAGGCCCCGCCCCGCAACACCCTTAGGCCCCGCCCCGCAACACCCTTAGGCCCCGCCCCGTGCTTGCGCTGCGGCTTCAGGGCCCTTGACAGCCCCCAACGGCTATAACTGCCAGGGGCTTCCATTCAGCCGCCCCCCCCCCCCCCCCCGGACGGAGGACAGAGAGCATGAAGCTCAGGATGGGGGGCAGCCCGAGCAGAGGGGGAGCCCGGAAGAGGCGCCTGTTCAAGCTGGGCCCGCCTGAGCACCCCGAGCAGAAACCCGAGGGGTGAGGCGGCAGCTGGCCGGGCAGGGGCATGCGGGCAGGACTGGGGGAGCGGCTGGGGGCTGTGAGGTGCCCCGATTGAAGGAGGGACCAGGAAGGAGGCGGGGGGGGGGGGGGGCGGCGGTGTCAGGGCTCGGGGGAGTCTGTCGTCTGCCTCCCTCACGGCGATGCCGCCTCCAGAGCACACTCAGCCCCGGAGCAGCGGGTGCTGTAGCCACACTAAGGGCCACGACCTCTGACCCGGGCCACACAGTCGGTCAGCAAACAAGGCGGGAGCCCCTCGCCGGGGAGGCTTGGTGTCCATGTGGGAATCTTGAGGGTGGGGTGAGGGGGGGCAGGGGGGCCCAGTGAGGGGCAGTGGGGAGGCAGCGGGGCTCAGTGGCGGGCAGCGGGGGGCAGTGGCGGGCAGTGGGGGGCAGTGGGGAGCAGCGGGGGGCAGTGGCGGGCAGCCGGGGGCAGTGGGGAGCAGCGGGGGGCAGTGGCGGGCAGCGGGGGGCAGTGGGGAGCAGCTGGGAGCAGCGGGGAGCAGCGGGGGGCAGTGGCGGGCAGCGGGGGGCAGTGGGGAGCAGTGGGGAGCAGCTGGGAGCAGCGGGGGGCAGTGGGGAGCAGTGGGGAGCAGCTGGGAGCAGCGGGGGGCAGTGGGGGGCAGTGGCGGTGGAGGGGGCAGCGGCAGCTGGGGTTACAGTCCTTCATCCTGGGGGCACCCAGGGAAGGACCCAGAGCCAGAGGCTGAGCCTTCAGAGCCCGAGGAGGGGAGCCGTGAGGCGGGAGGTGACAGTCGGGAGGCAGAACTAATGGTCGGGTCTGGCAAAGGCTGGCCCCCGGCTGACCCGGGCCCTCCCCACAGCTCGGCCAGCTTCTGCAGCCTGGCCCCCGGCGAGGCCCAGGGGGAGGAGGAGGAGGAGAAAGCAGGTGCGTGCTCGGGGCCGCTGGGGGGTCCCGGGAGGAAGCCAGGAGCCATGCAGAGGTTCTCTGACGGGGAGACCCCACACCCATCCGGCAGACCCGCCGTGGGGTTCTCGTTGGGTCCCAGCAGTTCCAGCCCCCGGGACTGAGTGCTGGACTCTGGATTTGGGGGCTGCAGACCGGAAGGGGCCGGGCTGCCCGGGCCGGGCGAGCCGCTGGGCTCTGACCCCGCCGGCAGAAGGGCGGGCCTGTGTCCACACTTGGTGACTGGCCCTGGCCCTGGCCCAGGCTGGTGGTGGCCGACCAGCTCCCACACCCTGGCCAAGAGCCAGGCGACCCCGTGTCTAGGTTCCCCAGGTGCCACGAACCCTCCTCGGGGGGATCATTAGGCGGGTTTACACCCCTTGCAAACCCCTTCCCCCCCAATGGCTTCAGTGTTCACCTGGGAAGTGAAGGCCAACGACAGGACCTACAACAACCAGTTCAAGGAGAAGGCCTTCCTGTGTTGGCAGAGGAGGAAGTACAAGGTGGGCGGCCTCTCCTACCTCCCCCCACACTTTCCCCCTACCCCCGCCCCCAGTTTTAATCATGATCAAGTCACCAGTTTGGTGCTAGAATGTCCTGTGTTTCCTTGCCAGCCCCCCACCCCAGTCCCATTAAAATCAGTTAATATTAAACCTTCAAAGTACATCAGGCTCTACCTAAAATCTTTTGATGTGTGTGACTCACTTTGAGAAATACGGGGCCACAGCCCTCTTCGGTGAGTCTTTGCATTCAGTAGAGGCTCAGTTAATGCTGGCTCAAGGCCTGGCCCTCAGCGAGCACTCAGTACATCTGGCTTGAGACTTTGTCTGCACTGGGTGCTCAGTTACTGCTGATAGTAGCTAAAGGGTGGGTGAGGCCAAGGTGGAGTCCTGGCCTGGGCAGTGCCCCCATGCTGGCTCTCATTCTAGAGCAACATCATTCGCACAGCCAAGTACAACTTCTTCTCCTTCTTGCCCTTGAACCTGTACGAGCAGTTCCACCGAATATCCAACTCCTACTTCCTTTTTGTCATCATTCTCCAGGTAGGGCAGGGTGGGGGTGGCCCCAGGGGTCAGCCTCTGTGCACACACCATTCCTTCCACCTGCTGGAATCTCCTCCTCCAGGAAGCCCTACCTGACCACCTTTGACACATGGCTGTGTAGACACTTGGTGGGGGTGGGAGGATGTATGTCTGTCTGTGAGGTTGGTTGTTTGGTTGGATGGGGAGGCAGGGGTGGGGCAGTGTCTGGCTCCTCTTCACACACTGGGAAATGGCTGAGTCCCCCTGCCTAGCCCAGGGCCTGGCACACGGGAGGTGCTCAATACACATTCAGCGATGAAGGTGCGTGAGTGGCTCCTTCAGATCCAAGGAGGGTGCAGCCTCTCCCCAGGATAGACAGCCTTGGCCACATAACCCCCTTGGCCCCATCCACCCAGCTGACTCCAAAGGGTGAGGAGCAAAGGGTTGAGAGCATATTCTAGGGACCTGCTGGGCTACTTCCCAGCACCTGGTTGACCCTGCCAGAAGGGCAGGTGTCGGCCTGTCTCAGTTGGGTGGCAGTTTTCAGAGCACCCTGACCTCCCCCCCGCCTCACCCTCAAGAGTTCATTCTGGTCTGACCCTCTCCTTTTCTTCATCGATCCCATGAACATACTGTGTGCAGGTCCAATGCTGGAAACGGAGGACCCAGCAGTTGCCCTGACACCCACTCTCATTAAACCACATGGCAGGGCCCAGTGATGGAAAGGGGACCCACTCTCCCACCCAGGCTTGTCTGTGATTCACTTGGAACTCAGGCCCGAAGGGTGACTTGGAAAAGCAGAACTATAGGGAGAGAAATAGTAAAGCCAAGGCTCTGAGGAGGGAACATGCTTGGGGTACCTGAAAGATGTGACATGGGAGCTGGGCATGAAAGGGAGATGAGTTTGCTGGGGGGGGGTGGGGGGGAGTTCTGGGCAGGGGGTGGAAATAGGCCATTGTCTCAAGGTTTGTGGGGGGAGGTAGCTGGCCCTGAGCCCAGGTGGTGGTGGCAGGTGGGACGCAGGATGCCAGGTTGAGGGTCTGGATGGGAGGGCAGGGGGAGGCAGTTGTGGGGAGTGTCAGGAGTGGTGGTTTGGTGTGAACCACCCCTGTCTGTCAGGGTGTCTTTCCTGAAATCTCCACGATGCCCTGGTTCACCCTCTTTGCCCCACTCGTCTGCCTCCTCTTCATCCGGGCCATCCGAGACCTGGTGGACGACATCGTAAGTAAAGTCACGGAACTGCTGGGGAGGGCACTGGGGGCAGGATGGGGTCTTTGTCTTGCTTCCACAAGGGACAGGTGCACGCACAACATGGCCCTTTGGCCCTTGCTGCCAATAGCTATTGTCCCAGCAGTTCCCACTTCCCCCACCACGGTCCCTGGACAGATGTGGCTGGTGCGGATTCACTATAGGGGCCATGTGTATGAGCTGGAACTGCTCTGCAACTAGGCCCTTCACCAGGGTGGTGTGGGGGCAGGATGGGTGGGGGCAAGGCACAAGGCTGGGACAGGGCCACCCCTCTAACCCATCCCTATTGACTCAGGGGCGACATAAGAGTGACAGCACCGTCAACAACAGGCCCTGCGAGATGCTGGTGGGGGAGAGGTGAGGCCTCTAGTGATGTGTTGGGGAGTTCATCCTGAGGAAGGAAACTCCAGCACAACTGTGTGTGTGTGTGTGTGTGTGTGTGTGTGTGTGTGTGTGTGTGTGTACATATCAGGGAGGAGTGCCCAGCAGAGTGCCCAGAACCCTCCATGCCCCCCAGACATCTTGATTGAGTCTGATGTGTGACAGGGGCCCAGCCATTATTTAGTAGATGCCTGCTGTCTACCAGGCCTGGGATGTGCCTTGTGATGAGGACAGAGGCTGAGGACCTGATTGTTAACCCTTGCAGGCCTGAAAGTTCAGCGGAAAAGGGAGGCAGAGAAATTCTGAAGAGACTTGGACACAAACTGGGGGAAGGGGCAAGGTTAGGGAAGGTTGGACTTCTTGTGTGGGCTAAGAACCCCCTACCCCAAAAACCTGTAGGTGGGCACACAGGGAAGCAAAGCACCATGAAGTCATCTATAGCCCCAACCTCCTGAGGTTCTTTCTGCTTCAGGATGGCAAGAGGGCCAAGGGTTTCAAAGATGGGTCAGTTTGGGGCCCTCTCTTACACCTGCCACCCCCCCCCCATAGGTTTCTGTGTAAAAAGTGGAAGGACCTGCATGTGGGGGACCTGGTCCGTCTGCATGACACAAACATTGTCCCGGTGAGCTGTCAGCCAGCCCAGAACTTCCCACTTCTAGTGTCGGGGTGGGAGGGCCTGCCTTCCCGCTTGTCTTTCTCCTCTCCACTCCTGCAATGCTATTTCCTTGCTCCCACCCCTACCTTCCCCACCCCAGGCCGATATGGTCTTGCTGTCCAGCACGGAGCCCAGCAGCTTGTGTTATGTGGAAACAGCTGACATCGACGGGTGAGATGTGGGTTATCAGTAGGGGTTTGGGGACCTAGGAGCCAGCAAGGTCTTCCTCATTCCCCAACAGCTACAAAATGTGGATCCCCAAGCCCACTGGGATATTTAGGCCATTCATTCTGGGAGCATTTTTGGGGCACTTGCAAGCTGGCAGGGGGCAATAACATTAAATCAGGTGAAGGGACCCATCTTTGCACCAACATTTCTAGAAGCCCTACTGTGCTCCAGGTACACCTTCCCAAAAGAAGGCCTGGGGTCTGGCTTCAGCCATTTTGAAAATGCCCTGTGTGATTTTGGGCAAAGCTTGCTTTCTGTGGGTCTCAGACTCCTCATGGGCAGCTGGCATGCATAGTAGGGGCTCAGTGAAAATGTCTGAGCGACTTTTGAAAGGGGCTGGAGAGGTCTTGCCTGGGTACTGAGTGAGGTATCTGTTCCTACCTCTTACCCCCTCCCCTTCTCATCATCAGGGAGACCAACTTGAAGTATAGGCAGGCCCTGTTAGTCACGCATCATGAGCTGACCACTATAAAGAGTATGGCTTCCTTCCAAGGTAAGAGGTAGTAGTTCGTTCACCATCCACCCATCTGGGCCTTTGTCTGCCCCTCTGTACAGTGGGCATGAAATGTCCCCGTATCACTGGGTTTGGGGGAATGGCAATAGTGTTTGCTGGAGGGAGGTGAAATAGCTTTTAACAGACCAGCTTATCCAGGCCTGTGAATCCATGTAACAGTTGGGGTGTTTTCTGTTATTGTTACAAAACATGCAACACTCTTTTATCAGGCATTTTTATTTTTAAAACATTGATCACATCTAATGTTTTTGGTTGTTTAATCAAAAAGGCAGCATGTTGTGTGTACAGAGATAGGGAACTGACTCACCCATTGCAGTATATTTTTATTTCCCACCTGGAAAGTGAGGCATTTCACACCTGTGGGTTACAAGTACTGTTTGCCCAAGGCCCAGCAAGGGGACCCCTTTTTTTTTCCTGTCTTGTTGCAAAAACCAGTTACTTTAATTGGTGCTGGAGCAGAATCTTTTCTCTTGAACCACAACCCTTTTGTTCCTGATATTCAAGCACTGGCTGCATTTGTTTTCATGATATCTGAGGAAAAGCCTAGCTTACATGGAGAGCTAGGCACTGTCTGCCAGATGCTGCTCTGGTTCCCAAAGTCCCCAGGATGATGGAGATGAGGCTGGAACTCACAGGTATTCGAGACACCACTGGCAGGAGTACGTGTCTAGTGTCCTCTCAGGATTGTAACCAGGAGGAAGGGGGATTAACGGAGGTGGGCGGTGGGGGGGCTGGGGGGGAGAGACCTGAAGGATCAGAAGAAAGCGTTTTCTTGAGGAGGTGCAAGTCCTGGCACAGGGAACAGCATGCACAAAGGCCCTGAGGCTTAATAGAACCAGCTTTGGAGCATCCAGAAGAGGAGGCTGCATGGCAGGAGGATTGAGGTACCAATGGGACAAGTTTTGGGCATTGTGAGGGTGGCTGGAGCCAGAAAGTGATGGGGAGTGTTCCCCACATCCTGCTCTACCCTGCATTGGAGAAGCATGGCCCTACCCCAGGCATGCCTCTCAGCTCCTTGATTGCTCTGTTACTCACAGGCAAGGTGGTGTGTGAGGAACCCAACAGTCGGATGCACTACTTTACCGGGCACCTGGAGTGGGAGGGCAAGAAATACTCCCTGGACAGTGGCAACATCCTGTTACGTGGCTGCAAGATTCGAAACACAGACACCTGCTATGGAATGGTCATCTATGCTGGTATGACCACTCTAAAGCCTCTGCAGCATGAGCTGCCCTGGTGGGGGTGGGTGAGAACCCTCAAGTTGTTGTCAAGAACTCACAAGGCCAGGGCTTGCCTGCTGAGTGTCTGCTGCCACAAGATGTGGGGCTCTTGGCACAGCTTCTATGGAGCTTTGGGTTCTAAAACTGTGGAAATAAGTATATTGAGCCATCCCCCTTGGATGGGTGGCTAGTCAGGTAGGTGGATGGATGGGTAGAGGGGTGGGGTGACAGAGGGATGAAGGATGAGGTGGATGGACAGGCAGGTGGACAGGTGGATGGATGCAAACCATGCAGGTTTTGACACAAAGATCATGAGGAACTGTGGCAAGATCCATCTGAAGAGGACCAAGATAGACCGTCTGATGAACAAGCTGGTAATCATGGTGAGCTTCACAGAGCCCCTGCCCTGGGGTGGGGGTTGAGGGACATGAAAGAGGGAAGGGAAGGAGCCCTTCCCATAGACAAAGGCTGTCATTTTTCAGGCCTCAGTTTCCTTCCTCTGCATAATGTGTGCAGCCTGATCCTACAAACAGAGGTCTGTGGGCCAGAAAATATTCTTGTAATCAAAATCTTTAAATAATTTCTCAATTCTGAAATTTTTTCAAACCTACAGGAGACAATAAAATGTTCACCTACCCTCCGTGGACATTTATTTAACAATTCTTAACTTTTTGCCTAATCAACTGTCTTTTTAAATAAGTCACTGTAATAATTTGTATAATAGCAGCCATAGAACTCAGCAAAACCCCTGCAAGTTCCCTCCCCCTAGGACTGCCAGCCACCTCTTCTCAGCCCTCCTCCCCCATCCTGATGGGTGGGGGTGCTTCCCCTCCCCTGTTTCTTTTACACTGTGGTGTGTCTGTGCTGCCTTGGGTTCTCCCCCAGGCTCTACTGTCTCCCTTTGCTGAGCAGATCTGCATAGTCGTGGTGCTGATCTCTGTGGCCTTGACCTTGGGCTTCTGGAGCAAGGTGACGGAATTCAAGACCAGGCACTATTATGTGCCTATGATACACGTGCATAGTCTGACCACCGAGTCTATCTTCATACTCTTGAGCTTCGTCATTCTGCTCAGTGTCATGATGCCGATGGCCATGTTCATCACGTGAGTCCCGGGCACTACTCAGCTAGAGGGAAGTGGAAGCTCAGGTAGGCAACGGGACAGGGTGTGACCTGGCATGTGTTTGCAGAGCTGAATTCATCTACCTGGGGAACAGTATCTTCATTGACTGGGATGTGGAGATGTACTATGCTCCCCAGGACTTGCCTGCCAAAGCCCGTAGCACCAGTCTCAATGTCCAGCTGGGCCAGGTGGGCTACATCTTCTCGGACAAGACTGGCACGCTCACACAGAACATCATGACCTTCAAGAAGTGCTGCATCAACGGCATTGTCTACAGCCCAGACCAGGAGAATATATATAAGGAGAACCCCTTCCTCTGGAACGTATTTGCTGATCAGAAGCTGCTCTTCAGAAACTCAAAGCTCCTGAGTATTGTGCGCACCAACAAGGACAAGGTGGTGCGGGAGTTCTGGCGTCTCCTGGCCATCTGCCACACAGTGATGGTGGAGGAGAAAGACAGTGAGTGCTTTGCTGGCTACATGGGCCCTGGAGCTTCTGAGGTGGTGGTCTGGCCTTCGAGATTGTCCATCCCAACCCCCAGGGCTCCTGTTACCCACCTTAGAGGGTGCTCAGGCATGAGGCTGGAGATCTGTTACTGAGCTGGGAAGGGGAGGTCCCAAGATGGGGGCCCAAGTGCCCACTTTCTTTTACTTGGCTTAGAGGTTGTACTGGCCCAGGAGACCATTGTCTTATATCTGGTGAGCACCAACTGTGTCCATTGGAGATGGGTGGTAGGTTCCCAAAAAGACAGCACGTCCTCAGCAAATGTTCCCCTCCCACATCCCATCCCATGGCCCCTCCCCTGCCAGACCAGCTACTCTACCAGGCAGCATCCCCTGATGAGGAGGCACTGGTCACAGCAGCCCGGAATTTCGGCTATGTGTTCCTGGCACGCACACAGGACAGCATCACGGTGATGGAGCTGGGGGAGCAGCGGGTATACCAGGTCCTGGCCTTGATGGACTTCAATAGCATCCGAAAGCGGATGTCCATTCTGGGTGAGCGCCCTCAGCCCAGGGTTGGAGATTGGCAGGAAGGGGAGCACTTATGGGTAGCCAGGCCTCTCCTTCCACAGTCCGAAACCCCGAGGGCTCCATCTACCTCTACACCAAAGGCGCAGACACTGTCCTTTTCGAACGCCTGCATAAGAAAGACATGTATAGGAAAGAGCAGATCGTGAAAGCAGCTACAGAAGAGGCCTTAACTGTGAGTCCTGTGAGAAGGGAGGGAGGCTGGGTAGAGGGGGTAAAGAGAAGGGAAGGTGTGCAGAGAAATGGCCTCAGGTACACAGAGTAGTCATATGCAGTTGGCCAGGCTATGCCCTTAACCCTTCACAGAGGGAGCATTTTTTCTAAGTGACACAAGTGACCCTCTCTGGTTAGGCTTTGGCCTGGATGCTCCCAGCCCCCTCAAACCTTTTCTAGTCAGGTGTGGGTTCTGAGACACACTCTGCCCCAAATCTTTTGTCTCCATGAGTGAACCCCAAATGTCTCAGCTAAGCTTTCGAAGCTGTGTCCTGCTGCCCTTTCTAGACTAACCTCCCTTGCCCACAGGGCATTCTCCAGGACCCCAATTTTCCCCATGCTCATGCGATGCCCCAGGAATTTTGCACACACTGTTCCCTCTGCTTGGATGCCTTCCTCCACTCTGTCACTCAGGATCTTTTGGTCCTCAGGGCTCTGCCACCTCCAGAGAGACTTTCCTGCCTGACCCTAACATGGGGCTGACATGTTATGCCAGGTTACTGCTCTATGGCCCAGCTCTGACCCTTTGAGATTGCCCAAGGGCTTTGCTGAATCCTCAGCCTCACCCAGCACAGGGATCAGGGTTTGTGCAAAGAGTGTTCTTGGCGTCTCATTCAGGACTTCTCAGAGTGCCCAGCTCTGTCAGGAGCAGGAGTCCAGGGCAGGTAACTAGTTTCTAAGAACTGGGGAAGTGCAATCAAGGTTCAGGGAGCCTAAGCACAGGGAGAAGGGGCTGAAAGAAGCAGAGGGAGGCAGAGATGACAGGGTGGCACCTGCCTGCCCGCCCGGCCTCCAGTCCTTTGCTGAGGAGACCCTGCGCACACTGTGCCTGGCCTACAAAAAGGTAGAAGAGGAGCAGTACAAAGAGTGGAGCCAGCGGCACCAGGAAGCCAAGATCCTTCTTGAGAACCGAGCCCAAGCCCTGCACCAGGTGTATGAAGATATAGAGCAGGACCTCCAGGTGAGCATGGCACAAGAAGTGAGGGGGCTCCAGCACCCTGGCTATGGGACCGTGGATCTCCCACTTGTGCTGGGGTTAACTGGGTCCCTGCTCAGTCAGTCTATTCCTGCTCACTCCCCATCCAGCTGCTGGGAATCACAGCCATTGAAGACAGGCTTCAGGATGGTGTTCTTGAAACTATCCAGTGTCTCAAGAAAGGGAACATCAAAATATGGGTACTCACAGGGGACAAGCAAGGTAGGTCCTAGGGTGGCCATTGATGTGGGAGAAAGGACTTATAGATGCCCCAAGCACTATACCATCAACCTATCCCACTGGTCTGGGTTCAGTCCTGCCCCCCACTTTGTCCTGGGGAAGGGAAGATGGGATGATTAAAACTGCTGGCACCTCCCTCAGGTGGTTGCCAGTAGGTTCTGAATTAGTGCTTCTGTGGGTGGGAGGCACATACACACAAAATATTTAAAATGACGTTTTACAGCGGTGTTGTTATAAAGACAAATGTCAAGGCTGGAAAACATAAGTTTTATTCAGATTTTAAAATAAATTCTTTTGGTGGGTTCCTAAAAGTGCCCATGGGCCCTAGCCTGATAAGTCTAATGATCCCTTGGCTCCTGCCCCAGATAGCTAGAGTGCAGGCCCCTTTGCTCAGAGCTGCAGGCCAAAATCTCAGGGCAAGCTCTCATTGGCCAGCCTGGGTTGTACCCTCCTCTGAACCAGTTGCCATAGCCAGAAGTGGGCTGAGTGCCTGGGCATGGCCCCAGGCAGAGGCTGAGCTGGGCTGGTTTGCAGAGACCGCGGTGAACATTGGCTATGCTTGCCAGCTGCTGTCTGAGGACATGCACATTCTGGATGAGGAGCAGATAATGTAAGGAGTTGGGGGTGGGGGCAGGTGAATTGGTTGGGGGCAAGGTCAGGGTGGGGGATAGTGAACACCCATGGACACCTAGGTGTGGCCCTGGGGATCAGCAGAGTGTCCTCAGCCTCCACCAGGCTGGACTCCCAGAAGGGGAAACTGAGGCACAGCTGGAGGTGGAGGATGGAAGGAAGCTTGTTTCTGGGCATGGCTGAGCCCCAACTGGGTCCCTGCAGTGCAATCCTGGAAGCCTACCAGGAGACCAAGAACAACCTGCCTCAGGTCGAGATGGCTGCCATGATCGTTAGTGGAGAATTTCTGGTCAGTGTCAACTCAGGCTTGACTGGGGTCCCTAACATGGGGGAGGGAACTGGGAGGACGGGGTGGGGGTAGACTGTTGGAAAAGCCAAAATGAAAGCCACGCTAGGAGATGGTTTTCAGATGAACTGGAGCCCATGTGGTCAAGTCCACACTGGGGTTTGGGGCAGAAGGCCAGGAGGGAGCAGAGGCCAGTTGGGGACATTCATTAAGGGGAGAGGTGAAGGCAGAGTGATGTGCCCCCTCGCCCCCACCCTCCCTTGCTAACCAGGACCAGCTGATGAAGAGTGTAGCAGGGCCAGTGAAGCAGAATAAGGACTCCAACACCCCCCAGAGTCTGGAGGTGTGGCGGGAACGGACCTTCGTGGAACTGGCCTGTAGGTGCAAAGCAGTCATCTGCTGCCGGGTAACACCCAAGCAGAAGGCTTTGATTGTGGCACTGGTCAAGAAATACAAGAAGGTAATAACCCTGGCCATCGGGGATGGTGCCAATGATGTCAACATGATCAAGAGTGAGTGGTGGGCACCGGTTCTGGGGGGAAGGCATGTGGTGGGCTGGGGGTGGCCCGGGCCAACATGCTGCATATGTCCCTGCAGCTGCGGACATCGGTGTAGGGCTGGCGGGCCAGGAGGGCATGCAGGCGGTGCAGAACAGTGACTACATGCTGGCCCAGTTCCGCTTCCTGAGGCGACTGCTGCTGGTGCACGGGCGCTGGTCCTACATGCGAGTGTGCAAGTTCCTACGCTACTTCATTTACAAGACGCTGGCCATCATGATGGTTCAGATCTGGTTCACTTTCTACAGTGGCTTCACTGCTCAGGTGCACTGCAAGCAACAGCCCTTTGGGGATTCTCTGTGTTGGGGTTCTGGGGTTTTGTGCCCTTCCCATAGCCTGCAGAAGGGTGGTGGGCACTACCTACTCCACTCTAGGATCCTCATGGAGCAGGGCTTGCCTGAGGTCACAGGGCCAATCAATAATTTCTATGGCACTCATAGAGGTATAGAGTATAATAGATAAAGGGAGGGGATGGTTTCTGCCCAGTTAGCTTTGAGCCTGACATTTTCAGGGATATTTGACAGATTTGAGCTCTGAAGGCAGGGCAGGACAGCACATGCTCCAAAAGGTAAATCTTTCTAGGGGAAAGAGGGAAAGCTTGAACCCCAGAGAAGATAAGACTATGGGGTCTGGGTCTAACTTTAAGACACTCTTGACAGTGTTGTGGTGAAGAATAAGTGTGCCTCCTAGAGCCTGAGAAGAGTCCTAGGAAGATGATTTCCCATGAGTATCAGGAAATTGTTTGAAAATAGATGGCTGTGATAGCGAATAAGCTGCTGTCATTGCTATCCAGGCATTTGAGAGAGAGCTTTACCAGAGGGCACCCTTGAATAAGTACAATTGTTTGTTTCACTTTTTTGTTTCCAAATATTTTATTCATTTAGATGCTGCTGTGCATGGAATTTGTTAATTCCCTTTTGAGATAGCTTATTGCTGGTGTGTAGAAACAGATGGGGTTTTTTGCTAAATTCTTTTTATTGACTCTAGGAGATTTCTAGAGGATCCCTGGGGATTTCCTGCATGTCATCTGCAAATATAGTGTTTTCCCTTTCTTCCCCTCCAAGTTGGATGCATTTTATTTCCTTTTCTTACCTAATTTCTCTGGCTGGAACTCCCAGTGAGATGGTGAGGGTTGGCATCTTTGTTTTTTTCCTAGTCTTACTGAGGACATCATTCTGTCTTTCAATACTTATTAACTGGAATGCTTCTGTAGGAAGAACCAACCATTCCTTCTCCCTCACTTATTTATGAAATTACTTATTTTTATCAGTTTGGACTCCTGGGTATTTTTTATTGTGTATTTCATTGCTCCGATTGTCCCCGGCCTGTTTTATTCCCTGAGCATAACTTCATTTTTGGCGCTACAAGAGGTTCCAGGCTAATAAGGAAACCTGGTTCTTTTCATCAGAGAAGGGTAGTATTAGACACTAAGAGCTAAGTGCTCAGTGTGTGCTTAGGGCCACTGGGTGCTATTACCCTCTCAATAGACAAATTTAGGAAATGTACACATATTAGCTCATGGATAGAAGCATCTCTATGTCTATTTTTTATTTATATGTCTACCCATCTAGCTTGTGTATATTAAAAATTATGTGAGTTCACACTGATAGTTCTGATTCCAATTCTACAAGACAAGGCTCAGCTTAGCCTTTTCCAGGTACTCATTTATGACACTTCTCCAGCAGTGAGAAACTTGATTCATATAAAATTCTTGATCATTATATTTTTGCTTGCAGAATGCGCATAAAATGGTTTTTGAGTTCTGGGTCAATGTGGCTTAGTTGGTTGGGTGTTGTTCCATGCACCGAAAGGTTGCTGTTTCAATTCCTGTGTCAGGGAATATGCTCAAATTTTGGGCTTGATTCCTGGTGGGTGTTATGCAGGGGACAGCCAATCAATATTTTGTTCTCACATTACTGTTTCTCTGCCTAACTCTCTCTCTCAAAATCAATAAAATATTTTTTAAAAAATTCTGTCAATGTAAGAAACATTCAAATCTGTAGAGAATTTTTTGTGAGTTTATTTGAACCAAACTGAAGACAATTGCTAGGAAGCAAAATTTCAGCAGATTAAGAAAATGCTCCAGAGAATGGCAGTTTTGCACCTCATTTTATATATAACAATCAAAAGAGCAGATCCAAGTGGGTTACATGAAATTTATTAGTGATAAATTGGGAGGTGCATGAAAGAAAGCAAAGCAGGGAAACCTCTGGAATTGAATGAAAAGTAAAATGATAGACACATCTTTTACATAGGTGGGTACAGGATAGTTAACAGTCAACAATTATAACAATGGGGGGATTTGTGGTCTCCACAAAGTGGAAAATTACTGTGACATTCCAAAGACATGCTATACATGCAAAAAGACTATAGGTTCAGTTAAGGTAAAGATTGACCTTTGTCAGGGAAGATGTAGGTCTAGGACATGACTACCCACCATAAACTGCTTTTAGTTTTAAAAGTTTTCATTTTAGACCATTCTTTGTGGTTATGTTAGATCTCTGAGTTTGCAAGACTGCCACATAGGCAATCTCTAAGCTTGTCAGGTTAGCATGTGGCCCCTATTTGTCCACATTTTTAAAAATGGTTTTTGGAACAGAACCCCTCTCTCCTCCATAGACTTTAACTGGACTGGATACAGGCATTAGAAAGAGAATTGGTTGAGCTCATTGTCTGCTGGGGTCTCTTCCAACTCCTTTTTACCCATCAGTGTCTCCCTAAATCTAAAATGACCAAAAACCACACTTTTTAGCCATATTTCTTCCTATAGCTCTTTACTTGCAGTTCTCATATTAAACACACAATGATTCTATTTTAAAATAATTAGCTTCTGCTTGTTCTCTCTTTTATTTTCCAAACTTAATCATCCGTTGATTATAATGCAACTTCCTAACACACTAGGAATCCTTCCCAGGTGCATAGCTAACTTGAGTGGGTCTCCTCAGGTAAAGAACATTTTGGTTTCTGGCCATTTGGCATCTGAAGGCTTATCACTAACCACATTTTCCCATCCCTTCCCACCCTTAGCCTCTTTATGAAAGCTGGTTCCTGGCGCTCTTCAACCTGCTGTACACCACCCTCCCGGTTCTGTACATCGGACTGTTTGAACAGGTGAGCAGGCCAAGGACTTGCTTCCTCCTTCCCTGAAGATGCTCCTGTCTCTGCCCCACCTTCTCCTCCAGGGGTGTTGGGCTAGGGTGGGGATGGGACTGGGAGAGTACTACTGTTCCCACCAGAGCCCAACCTGATAGTGGATGAAGCTCTCTTGCCCAGCTACCTCCCACAAGTCTCAATCTCACAGTGGGGAGGAGATTAGAAAAGATGGTTCTCCTCTTTAATAGGGGTCTAGCTACGTAATCCAGATTACGGAAGTCCAGTAGATCCTTTAGGATGACGGAAGTGCCTCATGCCTATGCTCTTCAGGCAGGAGCCACCAACCACAGAGGGCTAACAATTAGTACTTGAGGCTTCCTGGTGTGACCTGAGGAATGAGACATAGCATTTCATCTTTTTTAAGTTTTTAAACTGGTAAAACAGTAGCAAAATTCACCATCTCACCATTCTCACATGCATGGTTCAGGCATGCCAAGCATGCATGTTCCTGGGAAACCAACCTCCAGAATTCCTCCACCACCACCCCCACTCCAGGATGTGAGTGATGAGCAGAGTCTGGAGCTGCCTGAGCTGTACATTGCTGGCCAGAAGGATGAGCTCTTCAACTACTGGGTCTTCTTCCAAGCCATTGTCCATGGCACAGGAACCTCCCTGGTCAACTTCTTCATGACCCTGTGGATCAGCCATGACATTATTGGGCCCATCAGTGACTATCAGTCTTTTGCCACTGTCATGTCCCTGTCGGGCCTGCTATCAGTCACCATGGAGGTAGGCAGGGCTGCTGCCCTCCCCACTCCCAGGGGGACTTTGGACACCAACCATGGAAGTCTCATCACCTGATGACCCTCCTTGAGAGGCCTTAGCAGGTGCCACCCTTCAACCTCCTCCACATAGCCTTGCCTGGAATTCTGGCCCTCCTGGTTTAACCCTCCTTTTTCCCATTCAGGTCATCCTCATCATCAAGTACTGGACAATCCTGAGCGTGCTGGCCATTTTCTTCAGCCTCTGCTTCTACATAGTCGTAACTAGGGCCAGCCAGAGTGTCTGGCTCTTCACAATCTCCCCCATAACCTTCCCTTTTATGTGTGAGCCTTCCAGTAAGAGATGGGGGGGGGGGGGGCAGCCCTGGAGATGGGTGGGACCAGTGTTGTAAGAGAATTTGCACAAAGGCACCCTGGGGGTTAAGGGTGAGGAAGGAGGTGGGTGTCAGGAAGAGGGGGTTTGGAGCAGGCTCTAGGGAGTCTAAACCCTGAGGCAGGCCATGACCCTGCCCTGTCTCCTTCAGCTGTTGAACAAAACGTGCTATCTCACCCCTACGTCCTGCTGGTGGTCATGCTGAATGTGTCACTAAACACCCTGCCTGTACTGGCCTTCCGTGTCATTTACCAAGCCCTCAAGCAGCTACCTCTCAAGGTGAGGGTGGCTGGGGTCCCCACTGCACGTTGCTGGAAGCAGGGACTCCAAGGAGATGTAGAGCTGGAGTTAGGGGTTTGGAGATGCATACCCAGTGCCCTCTTGGGAGGCCAAGTAATGGGCTCTGGGACCCCAGAAAGGAAAACCGTACTTCCTGGAGTGGAGGTGGCCAATCTGGTTCCAGCACTGACTTCGTCAGACTTCCACCATGAATTATCTAGGACTTGGGGGTTGAGATAACAGAAATGACTTGGAAAAGGTTTAGGCAAAAGATTAAAAACACTCCCAAATGTGTCTGTTCATCAATAGATGAATGGATAAACACAGTGTGTTGTTCATCCACATAGTGAAATATTATTCAGTCTTTAAAAAGGAGGAAATTCTGACTCCTGCTACAATGTGGATGAACCTTGAGGATATTATGCTCAGTAACAAGCCAATCACAAAAGGACAATACTGCATGGTTTCATTCATAGGAGAAGGTCCCTAGATGAGTCAGATTCATAGAAACAGAAAGTAGATAGTGGGAGCAGGTGCTGGGAGGTTAGTGTTGAATGGGAACAGCTTGGATTTGGGAAGATGAAGTTCTGAAGATGGATGGGAGTTGATAGTTGCATAACAGTGTGACTAAATGTGCTTAATGCCATTGAGCTATACTCTTAAAAATGGTTAAAATGGGACATTTCATGTCTATTTTACCACAATGAAAAAATGTTGGGGGACTTAAACTGTCTCAGGTAACAAACCTAGAAGGACAAGCTGCTGGGCTGGGCTACAGAATTGACTGGAATAGTGTACCAAGATATGGCCACAGACCTGCCATGTTTTGTCACACAGGCTGGAGACATGGCTACCCCGTGGTTAATTTCTCCTGCATTTGACATACGAGCGCACTTAAGGCACTTGGCAGTTGATCCAGAATCAGGTCCCATTGAGGACTCTAGTTGGGTCAACTTAGGTATGGAAGAGCCTGGTCAATGTATGGTAGCCACTGGGAGCAGGTAACCCAAGAGCAGTCTGCACAGTGTGAGATCTTGATGACCCTTGCTTGCCCCTTTACTCTGCAGGAAGAGAAGGAGGAGGAGAAAGAAGAGGAGGTGGAAGAGGTCCCGACTGAGGAGACGGCTGGGGTGCCACGGGCCCGTCGCTCAAGCTATGCCTTTTCCCACCAAGAAGGCTATGCAGACCTCATCACACAGGGCACAATTATGCGCAGGTCACTAGTGTTCAACAAATACTCATCTGATGAGGATCATTCCACAAGCATAGATTTCATCTGATGAATTTTCCATGAGCATTAAGTCACCCTGGTACCAGTAGAAGATGTCATTACTGGGGGAGAATAGGTTCTAGCACTGGAGGGGGAAGGTGTCCTCTGAGGATATCATCTTTGTGATGAGCTCCTCCTTGATTGTGGAAGGGCAGTCTCTCTCTCTCTCTCTCTCTCTCTCTCTCTCTCTCTCTTTTCCTTTTTGGTATATGTAATAATGAAAAAATTAATTAGGCCATGAAGTCTATAAATTAATACTGTTATTAAAATGCTCTTTTGAACAACACATTTCTGGTGTCTGGTACAGTTTACCTAATGTCCATTTTCATGTAATTCTTACACAGTATAGATTCCATTAATGTCATCTAAATATTAAAAACATTTGACATTCCTCTAAGTCTTCACAACATCCCTGTGAGGTAGTATGTGGTATTGACCCCATTCTACAGATGGGGAGGTCTAGGTATGGAAAGGTTCTGTTTGGCGGCAAGAGACTTGCCATACTGTCAGAGCATAGCCAACATCACAGACAGGGTTGCACAGCATCACTGGTGTTCTGATACTCTAGTAAAACCACCCAAAGGATGCTAGAATCAGGCATACACTCCATTTGTCACCAGACTATGGTCTGATTTTCCATTCTGCACCATGTGGTTGAAATTGCAACAGCTGTAAACATGGCCACTTTCCTCAGACATTCTCCAAAGACCATCAGCAGGCCTGTGGCACTGAGTCAGGTGATCCGCCTCAGGTTCTGGCCAAAAGATATTTTCAAGTGTGAACTCTATCCGAAAAGAAAGAGTACCTATGTGTACTCCAGACTGCGATTCCAGAGAAAGAAATCCAAGGACAGATTTTGGGGATTATTGACCACTGTGGCTAAGTATTCAGAATACTGGAACAATGTCAGGGAAGGGCATATATACTGGAAGCCACTGGTTTCATATCCAGGGCAGGGGATAGAAAGAAGGCTCTCAAAGGGGCTGAAATCACCATATATGGGGAAATCCTCTACTGGCCGTGGGGGGTGTATTAGATGTGACCAACCACAGTGATTCCAAGAACACTGGCTAAAACCTGCTGGAACAGGAAGTCCAGAAAGCAAGCTCAGATGGCTATGTGGTCGCTCGAAGGGAAGCTGGTCAAGCAGCAGCAGCAGCAGCAGCAGCAGCTCATTGAGCTGACTAAGTAGGGCCAGTTAGGGACTCTGGACTGGACTGTTGGAGCCTGGTTGGCCCCATGGCTGGTTCCCTGCAGGGGGTCAGATAGGGGTCTGATGCCGAGGGTGCCTCAGTCTGGAAAACAGGGCCAGCTGGAAAGGGAGCCACCCTCCCACCCCGTGCCCCCTGTCCATCACACAACACATGTTCCTGGGGAACCTAGTACTAAACCATTGTAGACAACCTGTTTCTGGTCAGGTTTCCTCCGGGGCAGAGCACCTCCTTCACTGCGATCTAGATCTATTGAAAGGCAATCCTCCACACAAGGGTTTGTCCTTCCACGCCTATGGGGGCAAGGAAGAGGAGGGGGACCATGGTGGCTCATCCCATCTCCTAGCCATCCTCTCAGCTCCCTGGGAGCTGTATGCACCAATCTGCTGGGAGCTTTGGTGGGAAGGATGGGGATGAGGAGTGGGCGTGGAGGGAGCTGCTCTAACCCGAAGGATGTACTACCTCTGCTCAGTGAGAGACACCTCTCCCACCCCACTGAGGCTTGGGGCACCAGCTGGGACACCTCTTCTTATAAATTGTAAATGTTTTCATGGCACCTACAATGGTGAATTACTTTCAAAAAGTTTCAATTTACTTTGCCCAGATCCATCAGAGGAGTCACTATCTGTGGCAGCTTTAGCCTTATAAAATGTATTTCTTAGTGGTTTTCCACATTTCAACATTAAAGGAGTTTAGAAGTTGATTTCAGCATTCATGGATGACTTTGAGGGGTTCGACTCGGGGGAGGACATAACTGCACGTGTGGTGGAAATAGCAAGAAAACTAGAATTAGAACTGCAGAAGTGACTGAATTGCTGCAATCTTATGATAAAAATTTGATAGATGAGGAGTTGCTTCTCATGAATGAGCAAAGAAAGTAGTTTATTGAGACAGAATCTACTCCTGGTGAAGGTGCTAATAAGATTGTTGAAATGACAACAATCTTAGAATATTACATAAACTTAGCTGATAAAGCAGTGGTAGGATTTCAGAGGATTGATTTCAACTTTTGAAAGAAGTTCTACTGTGGATAAAGCCACTATGGGAAACAGTGTAGAGTTTCCTCAAAAAAAGTTGAACTGCCATTTGACCCTGTGATCCCACTTGTAGGAATATATCCTAAGAATCCCAAAATGCCAACCAGAAAAAATATATGTACTCTTATGTTCAGAGCAGTGCTATTTACAATAGCGAAGATCTGGAAACAGCCCAAGTGCCCAACAGAAGAGGGATGGCTAAAAAATAAAATCTGTGGTACATTTACACAATGGAATATTATGGAGAGAGAGAGAGAGAGAGAGAGAGAGAGAGAGAGAGAGAGAGAGAGAGAGAAGCATGAAGGGACCTGGAGATTATTAGGCTAAATGAAATAAGCCAGTCAGAGAAAGACAAATATCACATACTCTCACTCCTATGTGAAATCTAATGAACAAAATAAAGTGATGAATAAAATAGAACCAGAGGCATGGAAACATGGAATGGACTGATGAATCTCAGAGGGAAGCAGGGAAGAGGAACAGGAAGAGATTAACCAAAGAATTTTTATGCATATAAACAGGGTGGTGAAGGCATGGGGCTGGGTGGGAACCTGATGGAGAGGGACAATGGGGAAAAAAGGGTAGAGAGCTGTAATACTCCCAACAATAAAGAATTAAAAATGTATTTCTTATAAGTACCGCGCGCTAACCGATTGCGCCACTGGAGCTCCGTAAAAATGTATTTCTTAAACAATAAGACTCTAAGCAAAGTAAATTCTTTTGAAAATATTAATGATTATGTCCTGGTATTTAATCTCAGGTGCTAAATACTTTGCTGCCATCTGCTGGAATATGGTTCCTAATTCATGCCCAAACTCAAGCATAGTTCTCCATGAGAAACGGGAAGAGGTCCTTGGAGAAGCCATGTGTCACCTTAGTTCTCTACCCTCAGCTTTCCTAGCCTTGGGCGTGGTGGGGCCACAACATTAGTAACAAAGAAACAGAATTTCCGGAGGATGAGGCCCAGAAATCAGGATTTTAAAAAGATTCCCAGGCCCTAACCGGTTTGGCTCAGTGGATAGAGCGTTGGCCTGCGGACTGAAAGGTTCGATTCCAGTCAAGGGCATGTACCTGGGTTGCCGGCACTTCCCCAGTAGGAGATGTGCAGGAGGCGGCTGATCGATGATTCTCTCTCATCGATGTTTCTAACTCTCTATCTCTCTCCCTTCCTCTCTGTAAAAAATCAATAAAATATATTTTTAAAAAAATCAATAAAATATACTTAAAAAAGAAAAAAGATTTCCAGGTGATTCTAATGTGCAGCCAAGGTTGAGAACCACTGCCTAGGAGGATTAAAGTGCTTTGGCTTCAACATGAGAAAGTTAAAAAAATATAAAAACCACCATTTTCGTGGAGGTGCCTCCCCTCACCTTCCCTCCATGTCTCCCCTGCTCCAGAGAGCCCCCGCCCGCCACCGCCCTCACGCCTCACCACCAAGGATGGCGCCCCGCGGCCAGCGCGCCCTGTCCCCGCCCGGCCGCCGGGCCCCAGCAGCGCCGCCGCCGCCGCCCCCCGCGGGCCCTTTTTACTGCGGTGAGTGTGGCAAGAGCTTCCGCTACCGCTCGGACCTGCGGCGCCACTTCGCGCGTCACACGGCTCTCAAGCCCCACGCGTGTCCGCGCTGTGGCCAGGGCTGCAAGCACAGCTTCCATCCGGCCCATCACCTGCGCTCGCACACGGGCTTCCGAGACTCCGCCGGCCTGTGGCACCACCAGGGGGTCCACCCCGGAGAGGAGCCCTGCCGCTGCCGGGCCGCGAGCTCCGCTTCTCCTCGCGCTCCAGCCTGGGCCGCCACCGCCAGCGCCAGCCCCGCGGTGCTCCCGTCCCCGCTGCGGCCCGGCCCGCGCCTGCCGCCTTGAGCGCGCCCTGCTCCGGGTGCTGCAACGCGGGGCCCTGCTCCGGGTGCGGGGGCGCGGGCGCGGGCGCTGGCGGGGCGAGGCCGCGGAGGGGGTGGGCCCGGGCAGCCGGGGGTTGGCGGAGGCGGCAGCGGCCGCAGCGGCCTCGCTGCCCCCATCCGCGTGCGGCGCCTGTGCTCGGCGCTTCGACCACGGCCGGGAGCTGGCCGCCCCTGGGCCGCACCCACCGACGTGAAGCCCGTCCAGTGTCCGCGCTGCGAGCGCGACTTCAACGCCCCGGCGCTGCTGGAGCGGCACAAGCTGACGCACGACCTGCAGGGCCCGGCGCACCCCCCCATCCCCCCCAGGCCCCCCCCTTCCCTCTTGCGCAGGCCTGGGCCGCGGGGGCTGGTGCGGGCCCGAGCCCCCTGGGGAGGGTGGCGCCGAGGAGGCTGGTGATGCCAGGCCGGCCTGGGACGGCGGGCTCCTCCTGGGTCGCGTGGGGGCGGTGTGCCCGAGCTGGGGGGACTGCCCCTCGGGGGGTGGGCGGCGGGGAGCCCCACCACCACCACCGGCGGCCGCGGCGGAACCTGGGAGGACACTCTGTAGCCGTGCAACTGTGGAACCTTTTTCGCCTCGGCCGCGGCGCTGGCCAGCCACCTACGGCTGCGGCCACTGCGGGGCGCTGCACGCGGCCCTGGCGGCTCTGGAAGAGCACCGACATGCCAGCCACGGCGGCCCCCCAGGGGGAGCCCGCGTCCGGGAGCCCGCGGCCAGCTCCGGCCCCAGCAAGATCTTCGGCTGCTCCGAGTGCGAGAAGCTCTTCCGGGCCCGCGGGACCAGGAGCGGCACGTGCTGGTGCACACGGGCGAGAAGCCCTTCCGTGCCTCGAGTGCGGCAAGTTCTTCCGCCATGAGTGTTGCCTCA